CTCGTGTAGTGTGTGACCCCCTGTCTACGATCAGTCACGTAGTGTGAACGCCACAGCGACCTCAACTCCCGTCTTGTGTCAGCAAGTTGTGTAGTCTGAACGGCACGGCTGATTCACAAGGAGGCGAGGATGAACACCAGTGTGCCACTTTTTGGTCTAACTGTAAAAAAAATCATGTAAAAATAAAGTCAACCTCTTGAAGGCAGAAGTGATGAGAGGTTCATCAGACACAGGGACATGACATAATGTAGATTTTAAAGCATTTAAATCCACACTTCATAATTACATTCACTGCCACTAAGTTTCGCACTAAAGCACAAGCATCTCATACCAAAACAAATGGGCATTACGGCCCACCAGACTCCATTGAGGAAAAGCAGTATTTTTACCTGGCAGATCATTGTAAAACGCGCTTCATTAAAACTGGACAGAAACTAAATAAAATTCACTTAAACCATCGTTGTTAGTCTTTCCACTGTCCCAACAACCACCAACTCTGGGGTTTAGTCAAAAATAAACCCATAGTTCACGGAAACATTCTGGCTCTGTGCCTCAGCTGACAGCCGCTGAATCAGGCTGCAATGGCTTCAACGTCATCCTTGGGGACTAATGCGCGTGTCAAAGTAGCATAAAAGTGCAACACGACTACATTGTGGAGTGTAGTCGTGTTGCATGAGAGACCTCAGTAGGTTAAACAGTAAGATCCTTTTTGTGTAACCAGAAACAGCCGTTATTTCACTTTTCCTCGCCACTAGACTCTGTTGCACCCAGATGTGCCAAGATCTTTGTCTTTGCATTTTGCAAGTTCAGTTTGATTTTTGACTTTGGCCCACAGTTTGCCCTGTCAGTGACCAAAATGACACCAACTAAAATCAATCATGATTGAAACCATTCACGACAAATCGTGTTGCAGTTAGAGACCCTTCTCCCTTCTCCTCCTGCCAGATTCTGCGATTTATACTAAAATGAAGTGCAGCTTCGTGTATTTAAGAAAGACTTGTACAGGCAGCTTCTTGGCAGAGGGAGGAATACCATCATGTTGAGTCAGATCAGATTACTTTTACACTTTACTCAGCAATTCTGTTGAAATTATCATCTTCCCTTTGTTCTACTCTTGCTCAGTTTAAAGGTCGAATTTCCAAGCTTGGAGCCACCACATACACGGAAACAGTCAGGGGAGAGGCCTAACATTGGTAGTGTAGCCAAATCATCATGAATCATGCCAGTCTGGGAAATCCATTTTCTCCTCGTCGGCTACAGTAGCCCGAAATAAGTGCACATTTCCTGAACTGTGTCCATCTTTGGTCTTTTTAATGTCCTGCAATTTTAAATTGTGTAGAAACTATGCCAGCTTCGGAGCATGTTTGACTCATACACACCTTAGAAGCCAAGTTCATTTGGATGTCTGCTTTTCAACTTTTACTGTATTTTTTGTAGAGAACTATTTTCCAGAGAGCAGTTTCTTGCCCCTAGGAGCATAAACACAGCCATCCTAAATGATATCTGCCTCTAAAATCACACAGCAGCTCTGTGGGGACTGTGAAATGATGTATTTCACATTGCCCAGCTGACTGATGGAAATTTAGCCAGCCTGACAGAAGTATAACACCTTGTTTCTCAAAAGGGGCGCAGCAGAGTGGAGGAGACTAGGTGAGAAGAGAGGAGGGTAACACCTCGTCTGGAGGTGAGAAGAGGGATCGAAGAGGAAGGAAAAGGACAAGGGACAGAGCGAAGCAAAAAGAGGAGAGAGTAGACAAGAGTAGAGGAAAGCGGGGGATGATGTGTGAAGAGAGAGAAGTGGGAATGGTGACAGAGAGAGATGGTGTGAAGGAGGACTACAGGAAAACAGAAGAGATGGTGTTTGGAGTGAGAAAAGACTATGCCCAGAAGAAACGGTATAAAACTCTGACCTGGATGACTGAGAACCTTCATAGACAAAACTCAGAACAGCCGAGCCCCAAAGATATCCGTCCTGAAACCTTAAGGAAAACCTCAACATTTGCTTGAGGATTTTAGAAGAGAAAGAGACGCCATGATGCCTTTAAAAAGATTTAGACCTTGCGCTCTGTATTGACACCAGTGAATGCAATGAGAGCGCTCATGGAAGAAATCAAGTCCACAACTTCACTTGACCTGAAGGGCTGAAGGCCAACAAAAGATTTTCACGTGACATTAAATGATTCATCAATCCATGATCTTCCTCAGCCTCGGTCGACGAGTTGGAAAAAGTGCAACATCGTCAACTAGAGCCGGCGGACGCAAGAGGTTAACAGGAGTCCCGCTGTAGATAGAAGGTTTTGATTTATACTTAAAAATCAGATTTCACCAACATTAAACAGATAAATCCAACGTGATCCGGCCGTGCTTTCACAATATTTCCAAGAGTGACAATTATTTTTTATTTACTTTGTGATAAGAGTGAGGCGGGGAGGTCGTAGTATTGATAGGGATTCATTCTCTGCGATAAAGAGAGAGAGCTGAAGGTTTACAGAGGAGATGGTTTTGTAAGATAAGCTTCATGTTGTCTTCACTCTGAACTATCGGCATCAGAAACTTGAAGAAAACACAAGCGGCTGGTAAAAATGCTCAAGTAAAAGTTCTGATTTCACAACTTTCCTTGAGTTAAACTAAACTATTATCTACAAAAGGTAATTAAAATACTACTTTCCCCCCTGTAATGATAATTGTGATGCTTTAATGCTTAAACAGAATTTTGCTGTTATAGATGCTTAAGGTTTTAATTACTATACATAGTAAAGTACTGGTTCTTCATCTGAAAAGTGAAAAGGGGCCACTAATAGACACTGCTTTTTTACATGGGGTAACAAGCCGAAAACAACTGAAACAATGGTTAATCTTTAACAGTGTGTTGTAAAAAATGTTGTATTTTAAAAGCTTATAATAGATTTTAAAGATATTAAAAGTAACTTTTCACTACATTTGTGTGACAGCTAGTTGAGTAAAAAGTACAGTATTCCCATCTTCCTTGTAACAAAGAAGTATAAATTATCATGAAATGGATGCATTCAGGTAAAGTACCTTAAAGTACTATAGTACGTACTACGTAGGAGTAAAATGTACTTCCAACATTGTGGTTCTTGTTGCCTCTCTCTGTCTCTGCCAGAGCCCTTAATGCACAATTATAAATCTGGCTTAAGCCTTTACCTTGGGCTGCAAATCAATAAACGTGCAGCAGAGATTAAACTGCAATATCCAACAAGGAAGTAATATATCACCGCAATGATGGAGAGCGATTTTGGCATTTTACCTTTTTATTATTATTTATTTTTTTAGCCTAGCCATTTTCTGTTCTTTATAGTGTCAACATAAACATCTCAACAGCTGGTCTTTGAGTCCTTTACCAACAAGTCTATAAATAATCCATCCAGTCCACATAAACAGTCATACTATATCAAATAATTCTTAATTTTTAACATAACATGATACGTTTGTGCTGTGAGGAAGTGTAACTCTCACCTTATTAGCTGAAGAGACGAGAGGACAGAAAAGGAGAGACTGGGTGAGAGGAAGATGAAGAGGAGAAAGGAAGGAGGACATGTGGAAAGAGGGAAGAGCGGAGGAGAGAAAGAGGTGTCAGTGGTGCAATGCAGTGCTCACTACTCCACCCCAGACCCACACACACTCGGTTGTAAAACTATACGTGTGGGGACCCTTCATTGATATAATACACTCTGCAGCCTAAAAAAGTTAACCTTAAAGAGTAACGGAGTACACATGTACTGATATAAGATATAGATAAAATAGAGAAAGTATAAGATGCAAAATCAAAAACTGTTGCATTATGTGAGGGTGGATTTGGTATAAAATTTATGTCCAAATTCAAAAGGTGCATGTGCTTATTGAAGGTCTTCATGAGTGTATTAACACAAACATTGGCGTGTTTGAGGTGTTTTTGGATCTCCAGGCTGACAGGCTGAGGTCTAGTGAACTTTCCCCCAGGAGGGAGTGTTCTGTCTGGGGGGGGGGGGGATGACGACCATCTGGTCCCTTCGGGTGCCTGTGGAGCTTCTGCTGCACTAAGAATTAGCTCTCAAACAGGCTAGTTTCCACCCTGCTGGAGCGTCCTTGAGCAAGGGACACACACAGATGACCTCTGACCTCTCTGTTAATGTTGAGGAGCGGCAAAATGAAACTGTCTAATTATCTGGTCTTCTCTTACGTCAATAGATAGTTATCAAAAACGTCTTTGGGCTGGTCTGTTCGTCCGTGGTCGTCTTATTTGCATGCAGCCAAAATCTCAGGTAGCGTTGATCAGGTTTTGACACAAGTTGCGGAGACAATAAATCTCCCTGGCATGTTCCAGCGTGGCAGGACAGCTGCCTCTAAAACCAAAATGCTTGTGCAATATATGGCTCCGGGGATATGAAAGTGGCAGCGACGCTGGTGGAGAACAGCAGTGAGATGAAATATATTTATAATAAGTAACTTATTTTGCATTTGACTGACTATTCATCCGAGTGGCTTAATTAATGAGGGGTGTTCACCTTCGCTTCTCACCGGTGTAACTTACCCAGATCTCCTGATCATTAATGAGAGAATAAAGGATGCTTCTGCTTATTTTATATAGACTGATGCCCAAGCTGGTTGTAATTATTTGCACAAATGCTGCATCACAAGTCCCTTGCTTGGAAGTCCAGCGTTCAATAGGGAGATTGATGGTCATGAGGAGGTGGTTATCAGAGGCTTTTTTCCCCTCTCGTTTGCAGTGATGAATAAGAAAATGAATCAAAACACATTTCTAATCCATCTTCCGCTGCTGCAGCCTGTACGTTTGTGTGAATCTCTTCTGTGAAAATGTTGCTCTTACCGACCTTGTCAGATTAAAAACTGGCGCCGGGGGCTTATTCAGAAATGTCACAAAAAGTAATTTCAACATTTCATATGTACATGTTCTGGTTGGTTGTGTGAGTGAATGTGAGTTTGCTGATGGATTTTAGTCCAAAGAAGACAACCTAAAGTTTGTCTGTGTTTTTTTTCAGGAGGGACCAGGGACATCGGTTCAGCCCTCACCAGGATGTGCATGAGGCACCGCAGCATCGAGGCCAAACTCCGCCAGTTTTCCATGTGAGTATCTGTGTGTGTGTGTGCGCGTGCTGAACAGGTGTCTCCTCCCAGATCTCCATGGCAACCTGCTCCTCCTCCTTCCTCCTGCTGCTCTAAACACATTATTATGGCAAAAAATAACTGTCCTGATCAATTTTATTATTTATTTATGTGTTTCCATTATGGGTTTTAATCTTTTGGAGGATAAAATTCTTTTTAATTTTGCGTAAAACCCCTTCATCCTTCTCTTTGTGCCTTCCATTTTCACCTCATCTGCTGCCTCGTGAGGTTTTGTTTATGCTGCTTATTGACTCATCTTGAAACTCATTTTCTGAGTCCTCCACGTCTCCCTTTCCACCTCCTGCTGCCGCATCCTTTTATCTACCTCATCTTACCCCCCTCAAGAGCTTGAAAACCTCACCCTGTCCTCCTCCTCCTCCTCCTCTGTCTTTCTTCTCTTCCTCCTGACCCAACTCCTTTCTGCTCTTCTTTATCTCCCCCTCTCTGCATGAGTCCATTAACTCTCTCAGTATGGAGGGAAAGAGTCAGCCAGACTGAAATGAAAGGGTGAGACCTCCAGCGGAGTCAGTAAACAGAGATACAGTATAGCTGGACACATCTACGCATACAAACATCCATCCACTTTCCAGCACACTGTATCCCAGACGCCCTTCACGCCGGCGTCGTCCTCCAGCTCCTCCTTGGGGATCCGTGGGTGTTCCCAGGCTAGTGGGATATAAAATCCCTCCGTTCTCCTCTTGGGATCACAATCCACAACACCAGCCTGAATCCAGTATGAAAAGAGATTTGGGCGCAATAATCTTATCCCATGTAGGTGTCATAGCAGAAGACGACCGACAGAGATTCACCTCTGTGCGTCAACAAACGTGTGTTAAAGCATTTGTGTTTGCAGACACCTGCTGTAGTGCAGAACTGCGTGCGTGTCTGCTGTCTGCGTCCATTTTTAGACCGTATGTGGCGCTTCGGGGTCTAAGGTCACCTCAAGAGACCCCGACAGAATGTCACGCTGTGGTTGGTTGGGTTTGGTGGAATTTAAGACATCATGATCATCTAATCTGACATAGTCGATTATTTTATTTGATCAAAAGAAAGTTAAAAGCTGACAATTTTGATAATAGATTAATCATTTGCGTAAATTATCAAGGAAAAATGGCGAAAATTTGCTTGTTCAAGGGATGAGTCTCAGTTTTTCTCTGCTTTTTTTTTTATTGCAAGCTGAATAGCTTTGGTTTTTGGACTGTTAATTGGACAAACAAGACATTTGAAGAGGTCGACTTGGGCGCTCGGAAACGGAAATGGGCATTTTTAGAGACCCAAACAATTAATCGAGAAAATAATCGCCATATTAATCAATAATGAAAATAATTGTTAGTTGCTAATTAGTGACCCATCTTGCAAGAACTGTCTGATCCTTTTATAAAGGTCAGCGCAGACACACTGAGAAGGAATGTTATTGTGACTGCATGTACTTGATCTGCAATCAGTCTAAGGAGAGTTCAGGACTACAAGTGAGGTTTCTCTGCTGGTTTATCTTTCGGGATTTAGCGTCTTTTCAGGAAACGATTAAAATTTATATTAGAAAACAGAGTATATCAACATTTTTAGTAAGAGACTCTTTACACACTTTCAAATAGTAACTTTTATCCCTGATGTTGTTTTAACAGTTCTGTCGGTAAGGAACACACACACACACACACACACACACACACACACACACACACACACACACACACACTTCCATTGCTTAAGGGAACATTGCATTCGTTCATATTAATTCCCTTAAGACTTTCATGCATGTCTAACCGCAGCTCTTACTGTAACGCTAACCATAAACCAAGTCTCAAATGTTTGACTTCTGTCCGCTCTAACAGTGTGTGTGTGTGTGTGTGTGTTCGCAGGGTGTTTCTGGACTGTCTGATCAACCCACTACAGGAGCAGATGGAGGAGTGGAAGAGAGTAGCCAACACTCTGGACAAAGACCACGCCAAAGGTACACAAACGTAGAAACACACCTACACTGCCACACAATGACAGAGAGTAGGAACTGCATACACAGTGAAGTTTAGAAAAGAGGGTTTGAAGTTTGAAGGCTCTTTAAGCTGTTTAACAAACTCAATTACTAAGATGTTGGAGCCTCGGAAAATGTATTTTTAAATTTTGTCGTGGGTAAATTAGTTTTGGTTAAGGCTATCTCACCAGCTAGCCTTAACCAGCAGTCTGGTTAGTACGTCTTTTTCTCATTCTTATGAATTTTACTTGCCGTTATTTTTTCCTCCACATAATTTCTGTGGTAATATTTTTAAATGTCTGGTTATGTTTTCAAATTTGAGAAAAAATGTTACTGCGTTTAGGCTTTGCAGGGCAGTGTAGGCATGCGGTATGCTTGTCATGTCTGCGTGGTGTTCACTGACCTCTCTATTTGCATATGTGTGTGTGTGCATACCTGATAGGTGTCTTTTGTGAATCTAACCCAAGACGTGGGTCTATTTATGTGCCCATGAAGTTCCTCTGCATGCTTCACACGGTGTGTTCATCCGTCTGTATTTGTGTGTGTTTGTCTACAGAGTACAAGAAGGCCCGTCAGGAGATCAAGAAGAGGTCTTCAGACACTCTGAAGCTGCAGAAAAAAGCTAAGAAAGGTTTGTAATCTCTGGCCTGTCACTTTAATTCATAATTATAAGCGTTTTAATTTAGGCCTGACTCCTTAATGTGGGAAGAAAAAACAAATAGCTTCAAATTCCCACTGGTGTTTGTAATAACACACTCTTTTAAATGAGTTGGAAGATGGGAATGGTTTGGTATGAGTCAGGCAGAATGAAATGACAGTGGTATTCATGATAATTAAATCACAAGTGGTACTTGCGTAATGTGACTTTATGAAGAGGACTCTATAAAGAGATGTGAGGATTTAAAATTTAAAAGTTAATTTCATGTTTTTCTTTTTCCTACACTCTGCCCGTCCTGTGGTGTCCCATCATGCTCTGCTCTGTCCAGCTGATGTATTTGGTAAGTTATTTTACTATAGCAATAATATATAAAAAGAGGGCATTTCTAACTCTGACTGGTTTTGACATTAATGCAGCAGGCGGTGAGATGAGCAGATTAGATTCAACCTACCACTCTGTGTGTGAGAAGGTCTGCACACACTCCTGACACCTTCAGCGCTCTGACACACACATCTGCTTTTTCCTAATCATATCCAGGCCACTTGGGTCGGCTGAAATATGTTCCCACGTTGTTTAGATGTTTGTGTGTCTCCAATAACCCGAAGCCTGAACACAACAAAGAGCAGAGTCACACTAAACAAGAGTCTTCAAAGAAAAGACTGCTCGTTTTGTAAAACACGACACAACGTGACACAATCCAACACATCAGGGTAACTGAGGCGCGACACAACTATTCGGATAACACTAGCTGATACAGCCCGAACAATGAAGCAGCCAGCTGATATGATCTTTATCACAAATCCAAAAGTCATTTTGCGATTTTTCTGGACAATATTGCGATTCGATTATAATGGAGCAAATAGTACTATGAGTCTACTTGCTAGATTATCAAGGAAACTGCGCCAAATACTATTACTAATATTTTTCTCAACTTGAACAAAGTTAAACGATAAACAGTAATTCTAACAATAACAAGTAGAACGGATGTAAAACAGAAAAAGGAGAGCGTGTTGCTCTATGGAGGAGGCGGCACCCTGGCCTCGTGACTAAATCTACGTCTGTCCTCTGCAGACTATCCACAACCTGGAGGAGGAACTAGTGTACATGAGTGCAGTAGTATAATATTATAACATTAAATAAAGAGTATAATTTTCAGTTAAAAGTATACTGTTAGTAGCCTAAAAGAATAATATATTAATTACTATATTCATTATAATTTCATATAATGGTATATTATTTAACCACTAGTTGAATATTAAATCCAGTTACAGCTGTTTAATTCCTGTGGGTTGTTTTTATTTATTTAATCCTTGTGCAAGAAAAATTATCTTGGTCTCTAATTTGTCAATGCTACGTACTAACTTATCAATATTCATATTGTATAACATTTTTAAATTTTGATGTAGCATGTTAAACTTTTTTTAAATGTCCCGCTACATCCAGGCTGTGATTGGTCGGTTGAAGAAAAGTGACTGGCAAGCACGTCGGCTTTATGAAAAGCTGAACATGTTGAACAACAAAAGGCACCAATACAGCTAACGTTAAATGGTCAGCAAGCCAAACCCAAACCTTCCTTATCTTCTCCCAGTTTTCTTCTGTCTTAACGCTTCAGCTGCAGACGACGTCTCTCTGTCACAGAGCGACCGGAGCACCGGTGGCGAGTCAGACTATGTTTTGAACGATTAGCGGCGTGGCGGGTAGGGGAGGGGGTTTACGGTAGGTTGTTGTCTTAAAAGTTACTGGCACACTGATTATGAAAATCTTTTTGATTGCACGTAGGCCTTGTTTTTAGAGGCAGATGCGAGAGCCTGGTGTGGACGTGGATAATTAGCAAACTGCAGCGCACACAGAAGAGTGTGTCACACTCACTTTCTGTTTCATTATCCAACGAAGGTTAAAATCAAGGGCAACTGGACTTGGTTGAAGATACTGGAAGACGTTTCGTCCCTTATCCAAAGGACTTCTTCAGTTCTGACTGACTGGCAGGGAAACTCAGCTATTTAACCTCAGTGGGGTCGTTGGCCCGGGTCATCGATACCGCTGGTTCGTTAGTGTTCCTTGTTGCTGTGACGACAGTCGTTACAGTCGTTAAGACTACCGGTGGCCAAGACTGAACGACCATCGTTGGTATCTTCACCTGAGGCCAATAGGTTACGTTTGTTGAGTTTCCTGGGAAGTGATGAAAGGACAGCATTGTAAGTGGGGGATAAGTGGTGGCGTAGACCCCCTCCCCTGTTCAATGACGGCTTCTCAACCCTGGTGTAGATGCTTCCTTGACACCTCTTTCAAACCATCCATCTTCTCTGTCTAAAATGTGCACCTGGTGGTCCTCAAACGAGTGTCCTCTGTCCTTCAGATGTAAGTAGACTGTCTACTTACTTACAACAGAGGAGGGGGTCTACGCCACCACTTATCCCCCACTTACAATGCTGTCCTTTCATCACTTCCCAGGAAACTCAACAAACGTAACCTATTGGCCTCAGGTGAAGATACCAACGATGGTCGTTCAGTCTTGGCCACAGGACGACTGTAACGACTGTCGTCACAGCAACAAGGAACACTAACGAACCAGCGGTATCGATGACCCGGGATAACGACCCCACTGAGGTTAAATAGCTGAGTTTCCCTGCCAGTCAGTCAGAACTGAAGAAGTCCTTCGGATGAGGGACGAAACGTCTTCCAGTATCTTCAACCAAGTCCAGTTGCCCTTGATTTTTAACCTTCGTTGGATAACTATGACCTGGATGACTGAGAATCTTCATAGATTTCTGTTTCATTAAATCGCACCCGTTTTGGTTTGTCCATCAGGGAGAACTGACAAGTTTATTTTTCAACCTTTGGCTCAAAAGTTATTTAATTTAATATTAATAAAGAGAAAAATGTAGGAAACCTTCGCACCATGGTAGCGGCGTGGCTCTAGTTCATTGCAGACAGAATGTAAAGATAAAAATGAGAGCTATCTGTTGCGAGACGTCAAGTAAAAATTGTAAACCAGCCTTCGACTTGTCACGTTCAGAGTGACCGGCAGCTTGCAGAGGTGGGGGGGGGGGTACATCTGTCAGTGTCATTGCTTTGCTCTACCCACTGAACTGCAAAGAACCATAAATAAACACCAAAACAGTTCTCTGCTTTTAGAACAAATAGTTCCAGTCTGGTTCACTGAAACAAACCTTATTATGATTGGAAACAACAGCTTGTTGTTCCTGCTGACAAAGGACTCGATGCCTTCCATCTGTAAAACAAATGGAACCTGGGATTGACCCCAGAGGAACCTCAGATGTGGTCGAGCGGCTTCGGCCCTCGGGCCCTTCCAGCCTGTTATTACTCCACGAGAGGGAGGTTCCCTCTGCAGTGGTATGAATGTCACGAGGGAGGAAATCTGGAATGAAATTGATGTAATTACAGAGGAAGGAAAGAAAGAGTTCCCTTTGCATAACTCTGAAAACAATTAAAGACATAAGTGGAAAAACTATTAAGACAGGGGACCTACTTTTAAATACTCTGAAGTAACCGGTTAGTCGACTTTCTGCAGTAATACGATTTCTTAAAAATCATGTTGAAGGCTAATTCTGGTGTTATTAAACCTGGGCCCTATTTTTTTTTACATATTTTAGGATCTAAATCACTAATAAGTACAAAATGTTTAGGAAAAAATTCCAGAATTACCCTTTAACAAGAAACTAGTGTCTGTAATTGGAGACATTACAGCTAGCTACGATAAATTTATGTAGCATGTGTTAAAAAACATTTTGTGAGCCACGTTCAGGTGTAATGAAGACAACTTACTGTACATAGTACGGTTTAATGAGACTCAGCCGAGGAGATGCTGTGTGAACACCACATCTGAAAAATACTTCCTTTCTGGGGATGTTTAGCCTTCCTAGATCTACAGAGATTCACCAAGTGCCCAGACACGATTATTGTTCTCCCCTCTATGCACGGTGGAAGAGTCTTTTGGTAATTGGTTCAAATCGACACATGTTGTGTGTCGTTGAAGCCACGTGCAACACTTTCTACAAAGAGCCAGTCAGTCTGTCTGTAATGAAACATAATAAAGATAATCTCGACCTTGGGGTACTTAACACATGTACAACAGCGCATTATTATATCAGCTGTGCCAGTCAGTCGCCAAGCAGGCAGAGAGGAGAGACGGCGTCTGACCTAGAGTCAGCTATCAGGACCTGGGGAAACCTGTGTCACAGCACTTACAAATTATTCCTCTACGTTGTGGATACTTGTATTCAAAATAAGTCAGAGTCTGACTAAAACTGAAGCTGACACTAAGTGGCCTCTCTGAAGGGGCAGATACTGTACGTGGTCGCCATTTGACGTTTGGTTTTAAGGGGGGTCACAGCGCCTGATTAATTGCCTGAACAATCTAACAATCTGTCAGATGGATTTCGGGCACATCATACATTTTGATCTGCCGTTGTCCGATCCGATTTTCCACATGACCGCTGTAAGAGAAACAGAAAAAGAGAGACACAAACGCAGCATGCGAGACTGATGTTGTCGAAATTCTGTGGGAAACCAGAAATTACATTCCCGTCCCCTTGAAGAAAATCTCTTTCCTCTCTTTATCACTGGAGCCTCTGCTGCCTGGAAAAGTTCAGTCAGAAGTTCACGTCGATCGACCCGACCACAGAAGCCGGGCCTGAATCTCACGGGAGAGAAATAAAGAACTCTAATTGCATGTTGTCTGTCCTGAAGTACGATGAGATTACCAAATGATCATCTTAGAGAGGAACACAAAAGAACAACGAAGAAGTTATTGGCAATCAGTAAAGAGTTGTTTAATGTCCAGCTGTCCATATCCATGTATAAATAAGCAGACATTCTTTAAAGGGTTGGTACCCCTGCAACTTCCTGGGTCCATGGAGGTCCACTAGACGACAGGAGAGTCATCAGTCACTTCAATTTTCAATTCTCTTATCACGTACGATACATAAATCAAAACCTATCTGGTACAAATCTACAGCGTGACTCCTGTTAACCCCTGGTGTGAAGGATGAATTCAGCTTTAGAGGCAGAACATGAGGAAAAGAGGAGTTCAAACATTTGATCAGGGCTAAAAATTTAACAGAATCCTCTTACAAAACCTTTCACAAAAGCATCTTATGTAATTTAAACCAAGTGTTTTGTAATCAAACGTCTTTAGATAATCGATGACCTCACCATTAATGTGTGGTGTGTGTTAGTCGGATGCCAGCAGTTGTGTTTCCGGGCGTGGCGGCCTGACAGATCGCTGGTTTTAGAGAGAAAACTCTTTAAATCTTTAATGTGGGTTAATTGTTTGTGGGAGGCTCTAACTATTGTTTTGAAGCGATCGAGTGTTTGCGTTCTCAGAACAGGCCGTTCCCTCTGGAACTAAAGTTCTATTTAGGCGGAACTGAAGTGAATATACGATTTCACAGATAATAATCGGTCTGTGGCTCTCTTTGGTTTGCCCGGAGCTACAAGCCTGCTGCCTCTTAATTTCTCTTTCTGTCTTTCTCGACCACTATCTGGGGTTCTGATATCCGGATTATGATGCACTGCACTAGATAACAATTCTGTAATATCACATAAAGCTGCTTCGTTCACCTTAAGGTCAAGTCTTTGTTATTGGAGAAGATAAGAAACAACTCACTTTTAATATTTTGGTGGTCATTTCCCTATTTTAAATGTATTTTAAATGAGCACTTTCTGCTTCGACAGACTTGCTTTCATGAATCCTTTGCTCGAATCTTTCTATGTTGTTTTCTAATTCTTTGTGTGTGTTATAGCACTTGGTCCTGGACTTTTAAATGTCCTTTTTTTTTAAATCCTACTAGTCAGTTTTGTTCTCTTTAATGGTTTCTTTTTGAAAGAATGTTCTCTTGACCGTATCATTTAAGAGACTATGACAAACTTAATTTTTAATTAAATAATAAAGTATTTTCTGTGAAATTCATGCGAGTACAGCTGACATTTAGTTGACAAATGAATTAGCAACACATTTTATAATTCAGTAATCGTTTTAAGTCTTTTTAAAAAGCATAACGTTTTGAATTGTGAGGATCTGCTTCTTGTCTTTGTCATACATAGTAGTTAACTGAATATCTTCGGGTTGGTTTGCTTTTTTCACTTTTGAGATATTTCAAATTAACGTTAATCAGTTAACTGAGAAGATAATCCATTTTTATGGAAGTGCGTGCGTGTGTGTGTTTGTGTCTGCAGGCCGCGGGGACCTCCAGCCTCAGCTGGACAGCGCCATGCAGGATGTCAGTGATAAATACCTGCTGCTGGAGGAGACGGAGAAGCAGGCGGTGAGGAAGGCGCTGGTGGAGGAGAGGAGTCGCTTCTGCTGCTTCGTCTCCATGCTGAAGCCTGTCGTGGTCAGTCACACATCCATTCATCCAAACCACTGATTAAATAAAAGAACAGCAGCTCTGTTAAAAGCAACAATTTATCTTTTGAGAAAACAGCCGCCCCCTTGTATACCTGTACGGCGGTCTTACAAAGTTTGTACTTTCCACATTAATAGAGGTCAGCAGCTGTGGTCGGGTTTAAAATCTTTCCTACACTGTGATCAGAACATACACCGCTTCTCCAAAACACCACTTCAGTGCTGTAGCTCAAGCATTAAAGCTCTGGCCTGTTGTGTGTGTCAGGAGGAGGAGATGTCCATGCTGGGGGAGATCACTCACCTCCAGACTCTGACAGACGACCTGAAGACGCTCACTATGGACCCTCACAAGCTGCCCGCCTCCAGCGAGCAGGTACAACTCCCTGAACCAGACACAACTCCTAAAACTGTTTGGTTTTAATGCTTTACTGCTAAATCAGATCCCTCATGATGCGGATTGATTCAGTGCATATCTTAGACTTGATAAATTTTACCTTAGGTGGTTTTATAAAGTCTTCTGAGAACCAAACACACTATACCTAACATATCTTTGTTAAATCAACTATAAACTGCTGCTGTCTCATAAATCCTGTATTGGATGAGCTTTAGTAAAAAGGCGCAACCTTGGTGAGGCTTAATACCCACCGAGAACAAGCTTGACTTAATGAATGTGAACACAGCTTTTGATGGCTTAATGTAACCTCACTGCCCAACTATATCCTCAGTTGAGGTTACCACCCCTCCCTTGCTGAGAACAGGCTGGGAAAGACCCTGCCTACCGCTCCTCAGCTGTCTGATGGTTTGCCAGAACCTCTTTGAGGCCAACCAAACTTGCAGACGACCTACTAAACTCAAACAAAAAATGTTTGTTCTGAGACCATACCTGTCTTCTGATCCAGGAAACAGACAGCTGTCAGGGCTTGACTGCAGACCACAGACTCATACTGGGGACACCGCTTTTTGAAATGGCCGATTTTGTCCCCAACGTTCTAAAAATGTCAACTAAACAAATGAAATTGAAGAAAGGTGTATTTGCACAAAAAGAAAACACGCAATGCAATTTAAATATAGAAAATACAAATGTGCATTATCATAAAAAAGCTGAAAAACCGAAGCTAAAAAAAAAAAGCTACTGTTTTATCATTATATTCTGATATATCTGATTATATACCTGAATTTTGTGTTTCCCTTTACAGAAGTAAAGACATTTCCACCATGCATTGGTGCAGAAAATCTCTCCAGAATGCAGGAAATTAAGAGATTAATTTTCAAAATCTCCCTCCTCATATTTCAGCACTGAATATTTCTTCAATATAGTGTTCTCGTCTTTTTCTCGTGACCCAAGTGAAGCGTCACACCCCTATTCTGAGCCCTTATGTCCCCACCACTTTTCAACACAAAGTGACGCCCTTGCATAGACCGTAAAAGGGGGGTTACATTATTTTGTTATTGATTTCCAAATAAAGTATTGCACATATCCAGAAGACGACGACGACGACTCCTCCTTTCTCTCGCCAGGTAATCGTAGACCTGAAGGGCTCCGAGTGCACCTGGTCCTACCAAACTCCACCCTCATCACCGAGCACCACCGTTTCCAGGAAGTCAAGCATGTGCAGGTTGGTTACCATGCCCATAACAAACCTCCCCAACAAGCTGAGAGTCTAATCTTTGATCCTGCCTTTACTCTGCTGCCTCCATGTGGTCCAGAGGTAGAACCGCAGCTTTTAATGGGACCTTAAATCACTTAGTTTAAGGGTCTTTAAAGAGGATGAAGTATTGTTATGTTGTCCTTTTACGACTGTTGTGTCCAGATGAGGATTATTCAAGTGGTTTCTTCATAGCAGGAGGGATCATAAGAGGGTCAGTGCATTTGGTCTGGTTCCCAAAACCCAGTCCTTTAAAGCTCACTGTGGTCTGGCAGGACTCAGTAAGCATCGGCTTGGGTTACAGACCTTTTCTGATTTTCACATAGGAAAGACACAGAGGCTGTTTTTAAACTTTTGTCAAAACTCTCTGAGTTAAAGGGGGGAAAAACAGGTTTCTCAGTAATTCAGAGATGAGAAATAGTTTGTTGAGTTTATAATGAGTGAGACGATAATGATTAGTTTTAATTCTAAAGTTTGGAGAGGCAGCAGGTCATATCATCCAAAACTCTTTGCCTTATATGTCGCTGCTCAGCTCGGCCACAGTAGATTCTTTTTCAGATTTAAATGTCCTGTAAACTTGGCTCAAGTTTCAAATGTTACAAATGAAAAACCAGACAACCAGGTGGGAGGCACACAGGTTAAGGCTGGGAGACTGAACATCTGTGCCTGTAGTATGTTTGCATTGAATTTGGTCTGTTTATTCTTTGATAGAAAATGTAGACATTGTGCTGTGTGGTAGATTTAGTCAAATTGAGAAATGGTTATAACTGGTTTATGTTCATCAAATTAAAACTAATAAATGTTAAATAAATCTTTGTACTCCAAATGGCATCAAACCATTTACCACTTGTTTTTGTAGATTTGAAGTCAAAGTGAAGTGTAATTTGAGTGTTTGATATGTTGACTGTAAAGCTGAGTAGCGTTTATCATTTATGACGCCAAGTTGCCGTGTCACTGTGTTAAAGGGAAAGTTCATCCAAATTATAGAAAGTATAATTTTAACAGTTGAATTGTGAGTCTCGTTGCATTTATCTTCCTTTCTGACATCTCCTCCCCTCTCCGTCCTACAGCAGCCTGAACAGCGTGAACAGCAGCGACTCTCGCTCCAGCGGCTCACACTGCCACTCCCCCACCTCCCATTTCCGTTACCGTGCCTCCTCCTCCTCTTCCTCCTCAGTGCTCCCCCAGCAGACGCCGCCCCGCCTATCCTCAGTCTCCTCCCACGACTCTGGCTTCATCTCCCAGGACGCCTTCCAGTCCAAATCCCCCTCACCCATGCCTCCGGAGAGCTCGCAGGTAAGGAGCATGTGCAGAGATTGAAAACAGATACGAAGAAACACACTGAGAAATAGTTATTGGCAAGCGGAGACACTTGAAAAGAACTCCTATAAGGGTATAATAATGTACACACTGTCCTCTTCACTATGTTCTGTTGCACTCTTCTTCCTCCAGTGAGGTCAGAACATCCTCCAGGTTGCTTTTATACTGTGCATTCATTAGCTCACAGGGTGCAGCCAGACAGCATGCTCGCTTATTCCCTTCAGGGTTTCCTTTCCTAAGCAAGACAAATGTCTTGTTTTGTCAAACCAACAGTCCAAAACCCAAAGATATTTAGTTTACAATTATATAAAACAAAGAAAAGCAGCACATCCTCACATTGTAGAAACTGAAACCAGAAAAATAAAAATGAAACTATTAATTGATCACAATAGTTGCCGACTAATTTTCTCTCAATTAACTTAACCCAAATGTAAAATAAATATACATATAATCAGGGGTATTTTCCCGTTGCAAGAGTAAGATATTTATTGAAAAGTCTAATTTAGGTTTGTCTATCTCATTCTTTAAGAGAGATTCATAGGTGAGGTGTACACTCAGGGGACATTCAAGCGCTCTCCTGGTTCTGAGATGTTCAAAGCATTACAAGCCTCCCCTCTGATTTAACTTCACCTCATCACTAAAACAAAACCCAAGACATCGGACGAAAATACATTTTGGGAGCTTTGGACACCTACAAAACAACAACAAGGACAAAATTCCAAGCTGTAATTTTCCAGGACGTTATCCCCTGACTGCAAAACTGGATTAAAGAAATTCAGGGTTCAGGATTTGTGAGAATCCTGTAAAGGATCACACTAAGTTTAGGTTTTTTTACATTCTCGTGACATATTGCTTTCCCTAACCCATAACCCTCAATTCTAAAACCTAGTCTTAATCCTCAAACAGCCCTTTGAAGAAGAGGGTACCCAAGATATTAATTTAAAGCACAAGCTCATGCAAACACAACATTGCTAACTAAACACTAACCAAAACCCTGGTCTAGTCCCAAAACTTATATATGTCCACAAAACGTCACTGTGTTGACTTATGTCAACTCAAATGTCTGATTTGGTGAAGTTCAGTGTGTAAATATAAATGTACTACTCACTACTTTAGATATTCTTAAAAGTCTTATGAAATATCACAGCCCTCAGCTTCTCATTCCACCTGCTGAACCTGCCTCTGCTTCATTTATCCCTCCTTCTTCTTCTTTGTAACAGCTGCTTGTTCTGTCTGTAGTTCACGCTCACACCTGCTAATCCTTCTGCTGTTATTTACACTAACCTTTTGTCACGCTTCTTCTGCTTTCCTGTCTGTTTTCTTGCATCCTGCTAATTGCTCACTCTTTGTGTGTGCGCGCTCTGCATGGCGGTGCTGCAGTCGTGTGTCTCTCCTTTACCTTCTCAGTCTGTCAGTGAGGCGCCTTCCTCTTCCTCCTCTTCCTCACCTTCACACTGCGAGCCGCGCTCTGGGTTACAACAGGTGAACATCTACACGTGAAAACAAACACACACACAAACACACTCGCACGTCTGTGAGGTTGCTGGTTCGGTGATACCGGCGTCACACGGTGTTACTTTGTGTTTGGAGGTACCACATGGAGCTTTTAAATAATCAATCGATGCTTTGTTTGCTTGTTTAACAGTTTTTCATTGTTGTAAGGCATTTCTCATTCAGCGTAAAATACAAAGAAAGGCAAAGGTTGGGCTTCAGTGGCATTTTATCTGATCCACTTTTTTAAAATCCCTTATCAAAGAGAATTTCTAGAGATGTCCTGAGCTGATCTTAAGGATCGTTAACAAGGCAGATTTGGATAATGGATCAGTCCGATCATTTCTTTACTGTGTTTGTCCACCTCAGACTGCTTGTGTTGCAAAGCTGCAGATCTAGTTACTTTTAAACTTCATTTTTCATCAGTTACATGAAAAAATGCAAGTAATACTTTCATGAATCAGTATTTTAAGGTGAACTGGGAGACGTGATCAGCCACTGTGGATTATTTATCTGGAAAAGACTGACCAATCTGTTAATCTGACTTGCTTTTGTACGGTTTCTCTCACATATGATCGTTGGCTGAGTACAGACACTGGTTTGCAGGGATCACTTAAATCAGACAGCCAACATTTTAATTGCAGTTAATATAATCTGCCACTTTTGACATTTGTTATTTTAACCAACCAAGGCGACGGACTAAAAATGAGAAGCTGCTGCCTAAATGTTTTCTTCATTGCTCTTCTTTGATAATTAAAAACACACAAAGACATGGAGAGGTTAAAGGTTTAATTAGAGATTTGTTTGCATCAAAATTTAGCAAATCTTGAGTATTTTGATGACCTGGTTCTGGTCTTGTGTCAAGTTTCCTTCTCCTTTCTCGCACCATCTGGGTTAGGCTTAGGTTATAATTAGGCTTCACAGACAACTGGTTGGGGTTAAGTTAAGGTTTAAGGTTACTTAGAAGATGGGGACACTTGCATACAACACCAGGTTCAAAGTGGAACCGCTTACTGGAACCCAACCCGAGCAGAGGCTGACATATTTCTATTATAAAAGATTGCTGAGCTCCTGCTGCGACATGTAGCACCTCCACCTGCACTCATGTGCATTATGTTTTCACATCATAACAGTCATCTTTAATTTTTGAATTTGTTTTTCTGCCTCATCCACTCACCTTCAGTTGTCAAATGGTTTTGACCATCACGCTGCCCTCTGTCTGCACGGAGTGGTACTGCAGGCCCAGGACACCCACCTCCATCTGCCATACTTCACCTACTCCTCCTCCTCCTCCACCACCACTTCTCCCATCTCCTCGCCCTCCTATTCGTATGTTTCTCCCACGTGGTCGTGGCCTCGGTCAGGCTCCAGCCAATCAGGGGAGATCCTGCCTCTCAGCCCCTCAGGGCTTGGAATGATCCCTTCATCCAGAATCCCGTCCTGGAAGGTTTGATCCTCATTCTCCCCGATGTCCTCCTCCTTCACTTCTTTGATCCTTCTCTCATCTTTCACCCCCTTTTTTTCCCCCTACTTCTTTTGATTTTGTTAATGTCCTTTCATCTTATGCTCGCAGTGTCTTTCCTTCTTCTTTTGAAGTCACTTTGGAACAAACACTTCAAGGATTCATTGTATTAGTCTGCCATTTTGTTTCGAATTCCCTCAACAGCTTCTCAGCTTCATAATTTACAAGCAGACCTCTACTATGATACGTTTGACTTAATTTCTCCAGTTATTTTACAATATTGTCAGATTTTGGCTGCAGATTAGATTCAAGCTGCTGCTTTTTAAAACCACGTTTTGAAAACAAATTGAACTGAAGGAAAATTAAACAGAAAATTATTACGTAAAAAAATCTAATATTTGCTGACTGCAGCTTTTAAAATGCAAAAGTGTGCTTTATTTTGTTGCTCATTATGTAAAATAAATACTAGGTAGTATGAATTCCCTAAATTGGGCACGGTACCAATTTGGGATAATTGTGTCATTGTCTACATTTTATAAAATAAGTTAATCCAGTAATCGTCAAAATCAATTAATGACTCATTAGTAGCAACAACATTTATTTTTCTTAGTCTTGTATTAATCCATTGATTAGTGTTTTTATCATTTAGTCTATAAAATGTTAAAATAACTTGATTAGAGTTTACAAACCGCTTTGACAGACAAAGCAAAAGAGGGAATATAACAAAACAAGATAAAGTTAAGATAAAGTAAGAAGACAAAAGACACAAGACATCCACATAAAAGCCAGTTTATAAGATTTTAAGGAGTGATTATTGAAAATTCCCATTAAAAGTTACAAAACCCAAAACAAAGACCCCCAAAGTGATTCAATTTCAACTGCTGCGTCACGGAGAAAAGTGTGACGCTGCCTTGTTTTGGATCATGTCTGTCTGAATAGGACTGGGCCAAACCAGGCCCATACGAGCAGCCAGTGGTCAACACCCTCAAGAGGAGCAAGGACAGGAGAGAAACTGCAGAGCCCGGCAGCCACCAGGGCCCTGACGTCACCACGCTAGGGGAGGAACCACAAGGGGTTAAAGGAAGCCACTCTTTGACATCACCCAAGGTCAGATGGTGTTTCCAAAACGGACCAATTGTAAAACACAGGTCATGAGACTTACTGGCAGCTTTTTAATTGGACAGGTTTTTGGTAGTGTGTCAGTTCCAGTGGTATAGATTCTAAATTAATTGTGCTGTCAAATTAGTAAATCAAAGCAAACTAAATATGTAAATACATGCGTGCTTGTTGACCCCGGCAGGAGGACAGGGAGGCCCATGAGGAGCTGGCCAGGGCTCTGGCCCGAGGGCTCCAGCTGGACATCCACGGCTCCAGCAGAGACTCTCTGCAGGGCTCCAGCGGCTACAGCAGCCAGACAAACACACCCTGCTGCTCAGAGGACACCATCCCCTCACAAGGTGCACACACATCACGGGCCCATAAAATGTTTTATTGCCATGTAACAAATAGTTTTTATACCATTTACTTTCGTAAAAGGTGCTGAGCTCATAGAGCAGTGCGCCAAATGCATTAAATCCTTAGGAACAAATCAGAAAAGGGCACTTTCCACTGTGAGAAACGGGTCCGATATCCTGCTACAGTGTGCCCACACAGGAGGCCAAGTGTTGGCAGAGCAGCAACAGCTTCAGTCCTCCATCTGTGGTTTACAGGAGGCATTCAGGCATTTTGACAGCACTCAGAGACCAACACATAATCACTGTAATTACAAGCATTAAACAGGAAAAAAGGAGAGTTGAAGTGTAAAAAATATTAAGTGGCCTTCGTAGACAGCTGGATTGATTAGAAGCGTATCTGTTCTGTCAGACGTGGACAAAAAACAGGGCTGTAACGCCTCCAGTGTTAGATGTGTTGTGCTGAACTTGAGAATACTGAAGAGTAGTGTTTTCTGTTCCCCATAGTATCAGACTGTGACTACTACTCTGTGGGAGTGGATCAGGAAGGCGAGCAGCAGCAGCCGCCATCAGATTTTGACAAATCCTCCACCATCCCCAGAAACAGCGACATCAGTCAGTCCTACCGCCGCATGTTCCAGTCCAAACGCCCTGCCTCCACTGCTGGGCTGCCCTCCAACCCCTCTGCCATAATCACCCCGGGGGTCGCCACCATCCGACGGACACCGTCCTCCAAACCCAACTTGCGGCGGCCGTCTGGGGGCCTTAGCTTGGGCCCCATCCCCATCAAGCCCCCCATGATTCCAGTCAAGACCCCCACTGTGCCTGAACATCCCGGTTTCCCAAGCAGGGCAGCATCAGAGGACGGCAACACACAACGAACCCCGCTCAGCCCCCCGACCACACTGTTGTCACCTGGAAACAGCGGGCCGTTGTCACAGAGGTCAGGCTCCTGGGAGACCCAGCATCTGGGCGAGGGGTCAGATCCTCCGACCCCACCCCCGCAGCCCAGCGGTCGGGCCTCAGAGTGGGAGCGCCAGCCTCTCCCGGAGCTTTTAGAGGAGACAGAATATAGCGAGGTGGAGGACTTTCTGGTGGCTATCCGACGAGGCGTCAGGCTCAAGAGGACGGCGACCAATGATCGATCGGCACCAAGTATTCACTAGACTAGAAGGGTTGGTTTGAGCCATTTTGTGTCCCTCGTTGAATTTAAACAAATATGCTCTTGAAGGGACACAAAATTGTTATTAAGTAAACGCAAACGGGAGCTATGACATAAAAACCATTTGAAGAAGATAGGAAGTTGCCCAGAGTGTCTGATCAAGAAACAAAACATTGAATCATGGTGAAGTTAGTTGAAAACTTGGCACCATCACCTTTTGGCCAAAGAGAAATTCTTTAAATGAGGGTTAACGACCACTAACCCTGATGCTGATCCGAGATCATTTCCCCTGGGCAACTTCAGTATAGAAGAGAAAAGATGTGAAAGGACATTGTCAAACACGAGCAAGTTGTACAAGGTCATTCTTGTAGCAGAAACGACTTAAATGAAACATTAAGTAAATGTGTTTAGTATTGATAAGAGACCGATGATGTAGGAAATTCTGGAAGAGATAACAGTAAGCTGGAAGGAATGATGAGTATTTTCAAAAGATCAAATCATTATTTGTATGTACATATTTATATTTTGATGCGTTTGTGCATTTTTATTCGTCAAACGCTCCTTTTACATCCCCGTAGTGTCCCATTTCCACTAAAAAAGGTGCCAAAAGCCTGTGTGCTGAATTTTACTTAAATATGCTCTATTTAATTGAATTTATGCTGATTTTTATTTTGTCTGAAATGAAAGAAAAATTGAGCTTCTACTCGAGCTAAAATACTTTGTATATGTAGGGTAGCGTATTGAAGAATGCTGTGTAACCATTCGCAACTAAAGATTTTTAGTTGTTACAGTTACTTATACGATTAATAGATCGACCTGCATGTTCTTAAAAGTGTGCCCCAGTATAAACAATCATTTTGGCTTTTAAATTAGATTTATAACACAGTTAAACCCATAATATCCAAGCAGTGGATCGGGAACTGTGGACGCCTAAAACTTGCGAGATTAAGTCTGCTGTTAGCTTTACTGTTAGCGTCTTTGATTCTTTCCGAACTGAGCGTCAAAGATATTGTGGGTAGAGATTTATTTTTGGAATTCGGTTTAATTATTGCATTTTGTATTTATTTTCTGTAAAGCACTTTCGATCAATGATAGCTACTCTAACTAATCAAAGTACTCTTGCAGACAGACATGATCTGCAACTTTGTTGGCCTCCAGATTCGCCAACCCCTCTGCCGCTGTTCAACTTTTAACATGTTGCTAATCTACCAACTATAAAGCAACTGAGTAATGTTGTGTTAGCATAGACATCCAAGTCCATGGTAGTCATAGAAGTTGCTATTACAGGTTCCGTGTTACTACTTAGCTACAGTTATTGGAGTAATGTGGATTAGTGTGTTGTAGTGAAGCCAGTGTGCTGATGGTGAGTTGTACTTAGATGGCACAGATGCAAACGGTTGCGGACGAGTCGGAGCGTCAGTATTGGGACGGTGTGCTGCGGTTACCTGAATTGTATTCATTCTATTGTTATTCTGGTAACAGCTTCTCAAATGTGAGCGTTTGCTGCTGCAATTTCTAGACCTAATGATTGAGAAGATAAATGGCAGATTAAATCAATAACGAGAATTACTTTTAGTATTTGATCTGCTAAAATGAATATTCAGAGACTGTTGGTTCACTGTCCCAATACATGAATGGAAAATGACCCAGAGGCGCCACTGTAAAGTGTAAATTTGGAAAGAGAACAGCTGATTCAGTATGACCTGATCTGGAATCTAGCTTGCTTTAGTCCTAATCTGTCTGTTTACTAGCCATCAAACACTAACTGTCCAGTTACAGCTGTTTTTCAGGTGGTTTAACACACCCTATGGCGGCCATGTTGGAGGTCTCTAATTGATGTTTTACACATTCCCAAGTGCGATGTTGTCACAGCTAGCTAACAGTTAGCTAATTAGCAATATACCTTAAACTCGTAATTTAGACAATGGCCAATGTACAACCACTTGTGGAAGCTAGCTTTGTAGCACAACAACAACTCAGTGTGAGAATATTACTGAACATTTCTACAGATGAGATTTCAGCTTGCTTTTGGAAAGCTAAATCTTTACTGTGTAGACAAAAACATTAATTTTCAAGTTTGATGTTTAGCTAATTATTAGCTAAACATCAGTATTTTGTTTAATCTAATTTTGACACTAGATAAGGTACAATTCTTAACAGATGCTAGCACTGTAGCGTAAGAACAAATCATACTTCTTAGTTTTTACTGAACATTTCTACTGGAACATGACAACAAGGTGCTTCAGCTAGCAGAGAGCCAAATCTCCACGACCCTCCATTATGGTGCCAGACGGCGCTAATACATTTGTGACCCAACTGAAAATCCTCTGTTAACTGTGGTTAAACTGACAGATACAACAGAACACAAGTGCACGCTGCTGTGCACTGATATCCATGTACAACCGCAACAAATATGTAAACCTGTAATAGCTTGTAATTACTAAATGTCGGACAGCCCGATGAGTTAAAAATTTAACTTGTGTTAGTGGGTAAGTAACGAAACAAGTGGAAATAGACAAAACTTCCCTGTTGCTACTAAATATTTTTATAGTGTCCTCACAAGTCAAATTATTTATGTATTTATTCATTTAAATGTTTGCATTTTATTTGTGGCTTTACACATTTCTAAACTTTCTAAAGCATATTAACAAATATTTAATATGCATGTCTTTTTTTTTGTTGAAGAAAATATTTAATGGTCTGCTTTTTTCCTACCGGAACTAATGTTTTTCCTCAGTTGGTCATTTTTGATGCCGTCCATCATCTAATCTAGTTTCCCTAAAGGGATCATTAGTGTTTCATTTTCCAGTGCAGGTTAGCGAATACAATAATGTAGCTGATGCGATAACAAGCGTATGAAGCTGAATGTTCGAGCCTGTGAGGACTCCGTAAATGTTATGAAGATCTGAGTAACGCTAACGCACACGCTGAGGATTAGAAAAGTGACCATTTGGAATCATGTCCACAGCAGAAAATCATTTTGTGTCAAACATTTTTAGAAAAATCTTATCATTGTAGAAGTTGCATCAGAATTCACTTGTCTAGTCCTCAGCGTGTGCGGAGGCCATTTGTCCCTGAGCTGTACGTAACAGCAGCTGTCAGTGTGCCCTTTAATGTTTAGCCTTTAATTTGAGTAAAGTTGCCAAATTCCCTACAGTATATGCAAAATGATGCCCCGGGTTTCTTCTTTTATTGTAAAATTTACTTCAGAACGTGCATTTCGCAGGTGAATGTCACCAGTTTGGGTGAAAATGCTTTATCTCCACATACATTTACAAAATAACTTACTGAAATTAAATTGTACCTTTTCCTACACCTGATGTTAAAGTGGGGAATATCTAATTTTGGTATTTAGGGTAACTGGACACTTCAGTCACTCAGTGTCTCATCCTGTAAATGTGTTACAGGAACACACTGAATGGTAGGCAGGTGCTTAGCAATAAAAAACGTGATTTGATAGGACTAAGAAAGGAGTCATTTTGGTTTGTACAGACTTTAAAAAAACAAGAAGAGACCTTTTGACTTTGAAGTGTTTGTTAGTTTTCAGCTAAGGCTGAGCAATATGGCCAAAAATGTTATCACGATAAATGTCCAATCATTAATTCTTTTAAGTTTAAGGCTGATTTTTGCTCCTGAGTGAAAATTGAAGAAACCAGATCTGCGGTTACTCTTTTCTTTGTGTGTCAAACAGTGGATCACTTCACAAAACTAAGGTGGAAGATTCTAAACAATTATTAAAAATTTTTACAGTCCCTTTTCCTCATTAAAATATATCTTTTATTCAAATCAAGTAAACATTTATTGACGATATATTGAACATTTGTTATATTGTTATTGAGGAAAATTATATTGTGATAATAATCATTATTGGTTTATTGCCCAGCCCCATTTTCAGCCTCCTAACTCATTTTCCAAAAGTCACTACAAAGACTGCCCATAATCTGGTCAGATTGTTTTTTCCACATTCTTCCTGTAAATGTATAAGCCACTGAGTGATTGAAAAGTCCAGCTTCAAAGAGATATTCCTCTCAGGCTTTTTATTCCTTAAAATTTCATTACCTACCTTTTCCCACCGCTCAGCCAAGACAAATATTATTAAAACCTGAGAGCAACACAGAGTTAGGTTAGCTAAAATCAATAACCAGCCTCGACTTGACCTAATTGGCAGAAGGGATTCAGGAAAACAATGAGAGTACAGTTATAAATCCACAAAGAACCAAAAATGTTCTAATTTAATTATGCGCACGTGATGCTCTTTAGCATCTAGTTTGTTGTCCTTCTTAAAGTTAATTTGTTCCTCTAATGTGTGTGGCCAAAAGGTTGGAAAATTAATAATTTGACACCAGGGAAACATGGATGAACAATTTGCTTTAGGCAGGACCTGCTCTGATCCTTAAAGTTATATCAAATACATCATTATTTATTAATGGTACAGAGACAACTTTATAGTAAAACGTAGTGGCTGACAATGGCAGTAGTGAAATATTCCTTGACAGTGTACTTTTTTTGGTTTTTTTTTGTTTGTTTGTTTTTTGTCAAGCCTGTCCTGGATTTTTGGGGCCCATGTAATACTGGCATTTGTGGAAAAAGACTCAAAGGACAATGGAATCATTTTAAATCTAGAAATCATCACGACTTAAATACATTAATGACTGCTTAACATGAATTAAGTGATTGACTTTTTTTGTAATTTTTAGCTGGTATACTAATAAAGTTTCCTTTTGTTTTACATGATTATATCAAAACAGCACATGAATGTAAAAAATGTTAACTGTCAACTGAGGAGATGAAATTTCCCACCAGCCAACAGTTACAGCTAAGAGACAGATACAGTCATATTTGCTCGTAAACCTTTGATTTTTGCTGAAAAAAAATAACCACCTAAACAATTAACAGGTTTTCTTGGATTTCTCAGCATATACAAGATACTTCAATACCCAGAAGGTATCAGACACATGTACTGCTGTGACACAGGCCTGTCTGTGATATTAGGAGTAACAGCAATCCTTTTTTAATTATTATTACTGGGCTGACCTGATTCTTTACCTGTACCTTACCTTTAATGTTCTGTTCCTGAATACTGTCTCCTATTTTATGTATACCAGCTGTTTTGGCTAAATAAAATTGTAGCATACGATGTGCATCTGATGACTTAAGGACACTTGTGGTTTGTGTTTTCTCACTGTCTACGATACCACTGATTTTTCCCCCACAATTATATTTTCGATTAAGTCTGACTTTAAGTCGAGGCTTGGTAAAAATAGATTAGAGTTTAACTTTGGTCCAACAGCTAGAAATTGCAGTGAAGACGTTTTGTCCCTTAATAAATGTTAATATAATTAATATTTCCACAGTATTTTTTTTCTATGTCATATTATAAAACAAACCCCTAACCTCTAGTAAAAACTCATCAGGACTGTATGAGTTTGGTTTGGACTAATTACAAACCAAATAAAAGTTTCCGATTCCAATGTTGCCAAATCTTGATTGGTGCACAGATTTCTTACTTCGGCAGAAAGTAGTGTGTTCATGTTAGATGCCATCATTCAAAGTCACAACATGATTGAGAAGAATCTGTTTTCAGAGTCTTTAAGACACCTTTTGTATTGAACAAGGCCGAGTAGTTGAGTAGTGGTTTGGGACTTTAAGATCCAGACGCACACAATCTGACCTTAGAGCTGCTCAGAACAACCTCAGCCTTCCTCAATCAGGAGTGACTGGAATGAGAAGACAAAGAGCTTCAGAGTACAGCGGTAGAGGTAAACACTCCCCACATTTATTATCTCATTTTAAATTGCACATTTTGCAAAATGCATACATACTGTATATTCAATCCTTCACCACCAGATTTAGAGCGCATACATACATGCACAGACATCGGCGGTCAACAGCTGCTGCTGTTTAGGATTGTCCACAAGATGGCAGCACAACACAGCATTCCTTTAACTGAGACTTAATGAGATTACGTACTTTTGTTTAGATGCTTCAAGACCTTTCTTCTTGTGAAAAAAAAATTTGCAAAATATCAAAGGGTAGAGAGAAATAAAAACAAATAAATATCTGCTCACTACACAGCCATGAAGAAAACCTTCATCCTCTTTAAAAATAACACACAAAACATGATGTAAAAAATGAGATGATACAAAAACAAGTCCAGGTTGTCCACAGTAACAAACAGCATCCTTAAAACATCATTTATTACTTAATTAGTTACTCATTAATAAATTGACCACATATTGCCCATTGTTCTCATTCTAATTAACATAAGAAATCTCTCTTCTTATGAGAAAAAAAAAAAAGAAATTCCTTTGAGGTTTTTAGAGATAGTCAAATAAACCCAAATATCTTCTGCAGCTGAGTCCAAACACTCCTTAAATAATATTCAAACATTTCTGTCACCAGTGAGTCTGAACTCGGAGGTTTTGTCTGTTTACAACCTTTTCTCCTCCTGAAGCCTTCAATTCCTTTTGATTTGAGGATGTGCTACGATTTGTGCTTAGAGCTCAGCTCAGTGTCCCCATCTCTCTAAAGATGAACATTTCACCCCTTTGCAGCAAATAAAGTTCTGGGAGTTTTTAAACTTTTCAAGGCATCTATTATCCTTCCATACATTATCTGATCTGTGGATCTGCTGGAGAGGATTACTGGAGTGATCATGTTTGTTGGTTGCTATATGATGGCTATAGTTAACTGACGTGGACTTTCAGAGCTGATATGATAATAACTGATATATAACTCTTCTTAATTGCAGAGATGTGAAGAGGACAAGCAGCTAGCTTTTAATATTGAGCAGTTTATTTCCCAACATCAATGTTCAGAGAACTTTCATTGTACATCGAGTAAACGATAGATTTAATTATTGTAAACTTGTGTGCAACAACATAACCTTAATTTATTTAATTCTTTATATATGTAGGCTGATTAGCGGCAGTCTTTGTCTCCCTACTGATAAAACATGTTTCAGGTATAAATTGTAAAAAGGCTACGTATGAAACCTCCATTATCAGAATTTAAGTTAATCTTCTCAACCAATAATATATTGTTCATCCCTACTCTATGGTGAGTAGTAGTGTAGTCATAAATACTATTTTTTCGTTGCATTGTGGGAAATTTTAAGAGCCCTATAGCCATTTTTCCTTTACCAGTGCCAGCTCAACTAGCCTCGACTCTACAACCTAAAACGTTTTAACATTACTCACAATGTAAAGACAGATAAGCGGTATGAAAACCTTCCAGCTGTGTTTTCCTCTGCCGTTGTTGCTGCAGCGGTCTGAGTGACGGCGGGAGCAGAGGGCTCTGTGAGCACATTTCTGTTCCGCCATCACTTCTCGTAAAACTGTCAATATTCGAAATTTACACAGCTTATTTCTCACCTCAAAACTTCTCGGAGGTTGATTTAGTGAAGAAATAACGTACGAAAATTGTAAAATATAAAACGTTCTGTTGCTGGCTTCTGTCCGGCGCGCGCAATGATGACACAGTGATTATTCTCTCTGACCAATCGGCAGTCTGCTGACTGTGTTTTTTTAATATCGCCTCAGCTCGCTTGGAACCTCGTGATATGAAAAAAAAAAAAGGTACAATCTTTCCACAATGGAAAACCAAAAAAAGGCGAGTGGAGGCGAGTCGAGCTGGTACCATGCAGTGGAAAAGGGGCTTATGTTGTAAAATGTAGTACTGAAACGTTTAATCAATCAGGAAAATAACTTTTTAAAATCAAACATGGAAAATATTCTCAAGTTCCAGTTTCTTAAATGTGAAGAATTACCCTTTTCTATCATTATCTAAGTTGAAATATTCAGATTACCTTTTGTTTTTATAGGAGAAACAACTGATTAACTATAAAGTGTATCCACATATTAGTTAACAATGAAAATAGTAGCTGCAGCACTAATTTAGACACTACTAAATAGGGGGTGACTTCGGATGCAGCAGAGAAAAGGATCAAATGGATTCAAAATAAATTACAAGAAGCACCTTGAATATATGCTGGATAATGAATAATACTTGTCATGGTGTAAATGGTTTTGGACTGCATGTTCGTATGTGGCAAATCCAGACCATCTGGAGCTTCGAATCTGATGAAATTCAAGCTAAAAAAACTAATTACACAGACGGCTGGGATCCAAGTCAAGGCTCTGTGAGAAAGAAAGAAATAAAAAAAAAGAAAAGAAGATGGTGCAGACACAAAAACAAAGATATGGAAAGACCTTGGAAAGCAAACATCAGTGTAAAGCCCGAAACTGAAAATCCCAAAATGCAATTCCTTACCAGTGAGTGCTTCCTTCATTAAAAGGCCTTCCTGCATATTAAAAAAAACATCCGATATGGAAATAAATAGTCTGATTACAGAGCTACATCGGTTCTTCATGCAAAACACCTACACTATTCCCATCGAGGTAGCAGTGGGCACTGTTTCTTTTCTTTGTATTTACATAGTTTTTTTGGGGGGTATTTTTTGGTTAAAGTTTAACGATCCACTAGACCCTAAATGTCAATACCTCAAGTGCAGTGACTTTGTATGTGCCTCTCAAAGGTCTGCTCAGTTTCTGCTGAAGTAATGAGAAACATTTGTTGTTTTTTAACCCAAAATGAACAAATAGTGTTTTGGATGAAGTCTTCAAATTTTATAAAGTGTCTGCCAAAGAAAAATAACCAAATAAAACCCATGTGAAGTTCTGTCAATTAACTTGAGTTTGAAAAAGAAAAGAAAAAAAAGACAGACAATCTATCAAACATGTGAAATAGTGTTCCAACTACCTAAACAGTTGATCAAGTATGTACAGTTTGTGTTTTCATTCTCAGGATGGGAAACAATCACCTATCTCACCTGGAACTTGGCTGGTTAACAAGTGAATTTAGCAAATGGATTTTTGGACTCACACCTCCTCTGTGGGAAAGAAGAGGATGTCTAATACCCGTTTGCAATCAGCAGCTGAAGCTGATGTTTGAAAGAGGGAGAAACCAAACCCCAGCTGTTGGTGTTTAGACAGGTGAGCACTTCCCATCCTGGGAGTTACTCAGGCAGCGTTCACAACAGGCATTTGTGCTGTGCAAGAAGAGTTTAGCGTCAACACCATCGATTCTTCTTATCAATGCCCAGGACTGGAAAAGATGATCAAAACATGCAGCCAGATTTGCAAAATTTAGAAAATAAGAGTGGCAAAAGCACCAGTTAGGTTCAGCTGGAGCAGAATGCGTCAGATCACGCTGGAAATCAAAAGTGACTGCGGTTCTGAACAGCTTATACTTTATACTTGTCTGACTGCGGCTTGTTTAAAACTGTTAGAGAAAGTGGTCTCTCTTATTTTCATTACAGCTTTACTATGCATAATGATTTTTTTTTACCCATTTGTCAGTTTTAAAGGTGGATGGTAAATGTGCTGTTGTGTTAACACCAGCGCATTTAGCATGATGCACCTCAGTGTTAAAGAGGTGGTTTGATGCTTTTTGGCTTTTCCCCTCTCCTTTATTGAGTTATATACCATTTTTGTGCATGTAATATGTTTGGAAAGTGAAAAAGCCCAAAGGGAGTTCCCATCTCCCACAGAAAACTCTGCTCTGAACAGCCTGAAAACAGCTCATTTGTAGTCCAGCTGTGACATCACAGGGATTAAAGCTAAATGCGCTTCACAACGCTCGCCAAGCCGCTACTCCGACACGCCCTCAAAAACGCTGGTGGAAAAACAGTGAGCTGCAGCACACAGCTCTCCTCCCTCTTCCAAACACTATCTACCCTCCAGGCAGTCAGTGGACATAAAGTTGTTGCTGTGATGTAGAGACAGAGCTCAGTTAAAACTTTACGGATGAAAGATACTTTTGTTACAGATTAATAACTCACCGCTCTGACACTCTCGCTCCAGTCCATGTTGCCAAGCAGGTCGGCAACATGTAGCCTTCAGCTAAATCTAAGCTGTTTACGGGCTTCTCACTCACACCCTTCTCTGCTTCTGATTGGCTAGTAGTCCTCAACTAGGAGCTGCGCATGTGCAACTCCTAACAAAGATCATTTAGAGACAAGATGTATCACTCCATAGCTAAAACGAAGCCTTCAACACAGGGTGAAAAGAGGAGCTGCAGCAATGTGCAGTATGAAAAAAAATATTGTGTTTTTTGAAAATTAAACCACGTAAACCTGTTCAGGTACAAGCCCTACATACGATTTTGAACCTAAAAATTAGCATAATACCACCTCTTTAAAGTGCATCCATATAAATAAACACATATTGCGGTGCTCACTTTATGACTTTTCTCTACTTGTGCTACTGTTACACCACCCACCTAATGTCATCATTACACCATCCCTCATCAGGAAACATGTCCCCTAATAATGATGTCTCGAAAGCAAATTACTTCAGAGAATCTTACTTGTCAGTTGTTGCCAAAGCAGCTGCTGTTCAGCTTTAAATAACCAACAATCTATCAAACAGGTCAATAATGAAGTCCAGAAAGAGGTTAAGATTAATATGAAGAATCGATGACGATAAGATCCCTACAGCACCCATCCCTCGTCAAAATTTTAAGAGTGAGACCTCCCATTAAAACCGATATACGGAACTAACAGACGGTATGTCCTGAAGGTGCATCAAAAGAAGCTTAAAAGTGCTAAAGTTGTGATGGAGCTAAATATCATTATAAGACAGTAAAGTTAACACAAACTGCTTTAGAGACTAAAAGAAGTAGGAACGTTGCCTGAGCAGGAGCACAGAGAGAAACACCCAACTGTAAATACTTTCAAGTTGACATCAGCAGTATCCAGTCTGTAGGTGTGATTGTTGTGAAGCTGTAGTGGCTCGTTAGGAAGAAGGTGATTCTTTGTCACTGCAGGGTTGTGCTTCTTTCTCCTTCTCGTCGTCGTCGCCCAGAAAAAACAGCGGGAACATCCCCAAAATACAGCCGATGGACACCCCGATGGCTTTACCCTGCAGGAGAAGAAGAAATCATACTATTGTGATGAAAGTAAAAATCCTTCACTTGTTATTCTACTCACAAACTCTGGAATAAAACATACTTATTATATTTCATTTGGACTTAAAAATACTTTAAATTAGGAGAGCCCGGAGTCCGTTAAGTTGGTAAATAGTAGCCTGTTAGGGTCCCACATGGCAGGCATACAGAGGAGACACACACCTTCTGGTAAATATTTTGGAATAAAGGTAAAAATATAGCCATATAATGATTTCTGAGGCAAAACGTACATTTCACAAAAGTGTAGTTTTGGCTCTTCAGCTGCTGCTTCCTTTTAAGCTGTTATCTCCAGATAAGATTAAATCTTCCACTTTTTTGCAGACAGCTGATGTCGGCAATTTCTTTCCATGCCTCTTCTGTGGATTCTCATTTTCTTTTATATATTTTCTCTGATGTGCCTCCTCCACCAACAGAAGCCTTTCTTTCCTGCTCCAGTTTCCTACAGTGTCATCCCGCCCCCTACTGCTGAATGCTGCTTGGTGTTAACTTGCTACTGGAGATATTACATATTTCACATAAATAAAATTTTATCCCTTATTTTCATTCCCATATGTCATCTTGCTACGGTTGGTTATACAATTAAAACCGCATAAAATACACCAAAATAATTAATATAAATATCAAAACCTCACCATGTGAGAGCTGAGCCTGGTCTGCCACATGTCCACCTGTTTGGGCGTCAGATCTGGAACCTGCATCCCCAGTTTGGAAGCCAGAGCCTCCACATAACCTGCAAGACTACACACACACACACACACACACACTTTATATGGACATTTTTTAACGATCCCATCTCTTAAATTTAATGATATCCTAATCCTTAACTTAATTCTAAAAAGTACATTACTTTTAAAAAATGTGTCTCACACCAAAGGTCTAAAACTCCAACTGGTTCTCACAAGGACGTAAAGATAAAGCAAACATATTCCTGTGTTTATGTGTTTTTGTTCCATCTAACCTTCCTAATCAAAAACTAATCATTAACAAAAATGTCTCCAGGTTGAAGATGTAAAATGAACTGGTTCTCCTGAAGATAGAAGGACAAAGCACTCAAACACACACTCACACCAAAATATACTACAATTGAATTCATGTGAAAAAGCCTGGGAATTAAATAATAGGGGCTATAAGACAGGAAAAGTAAAAGCAGTTGATGACTTCCTTTTAAACTACAAGGAGAAAAAAAAAAGACGAAGAATCCTCAGGTCATTAATTCAGGATTTTAATTTAAAAACTCAGCAAACGCAGGCTGCACCTTGAGCTGTTTTAACCTGCAACGTCTTCAATAGGCTTCACAAGTCTGCCTCAAAATAAAAATGAATCCTCAAACAGTTTGTGAAGCTGCTTACCCGAGACCTGCCAAGTCTGAAACCAGGTTCCCCAGAGCCGCAGCTGCAAAAAACACAAAGAGGGAAACACTTTGATTTCTACCGTTCTCTGATGAAACACACACACACACACACACACACACACAGAGAAAAAAAAGCATCACATTTAATGAAGGAGTTTCCTGACTTTTAAGTGTTCCATGTTTTGGGGTGAAATAATGTGGTTTTAAAACTGTAGCTCTCTCTTTCTCTTTCCTGAGAGAGCCAAGGCAAGGGTAAAGAAAATACTTCATTCGTTCATTATCAGATTTCAGAAGTTATCTGGGATCTTCGAGGCCTAAGGGAACTCTCTTCCTATCTCTGGTAAACCTGAAATTGTCCTCATATCACAATCTTGAGGTTTAATTCAAACTGAATCACAGACAGACTATCTTTTACAACCATCTTCTGTCGATCAATTTAATGTTCCTCTGGGATTTTTGTGACCAAACCCCCTGAAGGAACTCTGCAGCTTGGCATGTTGATTTCTTATCTGGGACAGATTTAAGTTCACAGTCAAGAGTCAGAAATGGGCTGGCCTCTAATAATTTCTGTAACTTTCCCAAACCAACAATTCTGGCATTCATTTCACGCCTAATTCATGCAGCGATTGAGCAGGTGTGCTGAAATGAGAAAGTCAGCAAAGCTTCAAACGTCTCGCTCAGGCGCTCATTTTTAACGCAATTGCTTCCATCACTGTACGTGCGTACACAACAACGCACTGCTATACCCATTTAAACATATCACACCTCGCCCCTCTTTGTGACAGCCTCTCATTTTTCACAACCATAAAAACACTGGAGCCTTCAGACTAGTTCATTTCAAGCATACTGTCACTTCTGAGTAGCTTAGACATCCCAAAATGAGCTCAGTGAAAGGATCCCGGTGAAGTGGTTCAGACATCTGATAAGGACGCCTCCCTTGACAGGTTTTCAAGGCAACATCCAGCTGGAAGGGGACCTCGAGGAAGAACCAGAACAAGATGGTGGTATTACTCATTTTGGAAAGCCTCAGGATTCCCCAGGAAGAGCTGGAGGACATGGCCGGATATAAATATCCCTGGGCTACCTTGTTGCCTCTGCATGCTGGACCCAGATAAGTGTCCAAATATAGATGATTGAGATTAAAACGTAATGGGACTAATAAGTGGCTCGTGTTAAGGCTGTAACCCATCATCAGGGCCTGTGTCGTCCCTCCACCATGCCCCTATTTGTGAAAAACTTAAGCTCACCCACACATGACAACCAGAACAAATCCGTGAAAATATATAAACTGCACACAGTACCAAGTGGCCCACATTCCTCTCTGTATATTCAAAAAGAGAGGGGAGTCCAAACAATAGAGCAAAGCAGCAAAATAAAAGATGAGAGTCAGTAGGAGTGAGAGAAGGTGTGAAAGTTTTTCTTTTTTAACAGATTACAGAGCCCCTTTGGAAAACCACCAAGACTACTCAGCTTCTTTCTCCATCTGCCTTCATGGTTTTACTGTCAGCAAAAGGAGCTTCATAACATTTCCCGTTAATGTACTCCATCAACAATACTTGGCAGCTATTAATAATTCACGCTGTGGATGGATTTTCACACGGGATTGCTGACAATGTGGTAGAAAGAAGATTTGTTCACGGCGATTTAAACTCTAAAAAAGGTGTTAAGATGTGTTTGTTTTGCCTTCAGCGAATCTCTGGAGGCATTAAAAGCGGCGATGCTTGAAGCCGAATACACAGTGTTTCCCGCGGGAACAAAAACTCCAGATGGATATCTTCTTCTGAGCTTCCTTCATAAAACAGCATAACACAGCTAAGCTAAGGCAGCGGTACAATCATGCCTCATTTCAGCAGCAGCTCTGATATTGATTGCGTGTGACAGTCAAGTGCAGCGAGATGAAATAGGAGTCAGCAATAAACGCTGAGAAAGGTCTCCCCTTAAACTCAAAATAAATATATGGAATCAGCAAACTAGCTGAGCATCCCTGGAGGATGAATGATGATGAAACAAATATAACGCAGCGCCTGGATGGATAAACGCGCCAGAGCAGAACCACTGATCTAGAGCCCGTCTCCAGCCTCTGATTTGCACTTTGCAGAAGAAATTGAAGCCAAGTATCCATGGAAACAGAATAATCTAGGGAAGGCGAGCTCCAGCTCCTGTATGGTTTTCACAGCGCAAGAAAGACCACAACTGAGACCCAGAACGGCAGCCGTGACGACAGACGGGCTGTTTTGCAAAGAACTGCAACAACAACGAGGACAACTGATGAGCTGCGAGTTTTATTTCAGTAAACAACTAGCGGCGTTAATGGCTATAAGTAACAAAAGTCTTTCATGATGGAAGTGGTGGCATCGCTTTCAGACACTACATGTACCGTGTGACTTAGTGGCAGCCTGAATAAAAGCAATAACACCTTTATGGCGTGGTGATAAGATCTTTTATAAAGGATGTCCACACCACCTCCTGTTGGACGAAGGATAGAAAAAGGTGTTTGTTTCTGGTGTGAAGCCCAAACTATGAAACTAATAAATTTGCTGCTGTGTGGGTTGAAGGGTTTCCCCTATTTTAAAAAGGATTACTTCCTGAGAGTATACTGCTCTCATATCACTCTTTTCTCAAGAAAAATGGGATTTCTGTCCACAAATCAAGTTTGATCTTAAATACAGAACTGCAAAAAAATTACCTTGATCGATGAATTGTGGAGGTAATATTTTAGTAAAACAACAGATATTTTCACAACTATCAGCAGGCGGTTCAATAATCGGTTATAATATAATTAGCTAGTTGGGATTTTTATTGCGCCAATTCCAAAAAAAAATTTATTAACGACCACCGTCCACAAACTAAAACATTTTGGGTTAAAATAAATATTTCGGGGGGAATTAACTGACATACAGGTGTAATAAGTCTACAGCTGTGTCATTATCCATTATTATCTTGATTTACCATTTAGTCTATAAAAATGTTACCAAATGGTGAAAATGCCCAATATAAATTTCCAGTCCAAGAAGACATCTCAACACCAACAGTTCCAAAACCCAAAAGATATTCAGTTTACAAATATAAAAAACAATGGCAGCAATTCCTTACATTTAAGAGGCTGGAACCAGAGAAAGTAAGCTTTAAAATATGATGTAGTCACTGCAGCGTTTCGCGCTGCAGAAATATGAATGAAATAATAATAACAACAACAACAATAATGTGTGTTAAAGCAGCAGTGGGTAATTTTTATAAAAAAATAACGTCATATTTGCTGAAACTGTCACTATATCCTGACAGTAGTACATGAGACAAATAATCTGTTAAAAGAATCTGGTACCTCTGGCTCCACCTACAGCTCCTAATTCCATTGGCAAGAATCCAGCGCTCCCAGCTCAAAACCACTAATCAGAGGCAGGAGGACGGTCCAACTCCTCTCGCACGCCCTCACTCGGTTAAACTCAATATCACCAGCAATGAAAGAACTGCCCGTCCCTCCTTTGCCAACAATAGTGTTTAGTACAAAACACATCTGTGAGTACATCCGGCTCCACACAGAGCTTTGGATTTATTATGCCAGTGGCAAAGAGTCATGATGACAAACAGTGGGGAATAACCTTTGAGGGGGGCAGTGACGTATTAAGCTCTCATCCAGGTGTTACACACGTCCCATCAAGGCATGGGCTGGTTACCAGTTTCAAGTAATCCCGAGAAAAAGTCAAGGTTTGAAAACCACGTTGCAGTTTTTTTGTTTGTCTCGTCAAACAAAGCGCAGGAATCCCGCAGGTTGTGTGCAGCATAGAGAGTAACAAGTGTGATGGAAATTTGATATTTGTGACCTGTGTGCAGAATGGCCGAAGTAGGCGAACCCCCGAACATTTCCCCCGTTAAAAACATGGCGTAGGCAATATGGTATCCCACCTACGGGAGCACCACCCGTTAACTCTCCGCTAAATTCAAGGTAACACTATCTTTAAATGAACATTTGCTACAAGCTGAGAGTCAACATGTGTATCATTATATTAGAGAAGATGAAACCTGTGTATGTTAATTTTTAAAAATTATATCCAATCAGGACTGTTGATGCTTAATTCCCTGTTGATCAACTAATCGATTAATTATAAATGGAATGGAGAATTAGCCAACAAAAAGACTGCCTGGTGTGTTTCTCTACATGTTCTTACCCGCCATGGTGGAGATCCCCAGAGTGACTCCGATAGAGAGCTCAATCTGTGTTCCCTGGAGAAGAGAAAATAATAAGGTGAGGTGTTCATCCAGACTCAGTGTCACCACAAAAGGAGGACAAGTAATTCCAGTCAAATTAAACTTTGTCACTTCGTAACGAAATCCACTTACTGCTGCAATCATGATGGCATTATCAAGGAAACCAAATCCAACAAAGGGGAGGGCGTTGTGGAACAAAACTGCAATCAAAAACAGAGACAGAAGCAAATAAACAACACTGGAAGGATGAACAGATAATCTGAAATTTAAAATTAAAGTTTGTCTTTTTGTCCTGCACAGAGCACATTCATCAACTTGACAAGCAAATTAATAAATTAAACACACCAAAATGTATTTTAATTACTTACTTAAGGAACTTTTCACACTGTTAGTCCTATTCGAATCTTGGTGCACTTTGAATTGCCTTGTTGTTTAAATGTGCTGCCATACATCCACTGCGAGTGTGGCTAAGAAAAGACGGTTTGTTCAATGCTGCGGCTCACTTGTTCTGATCTTCTTTTATACACAGCTTATGGGATAATAAAGTATTTCCTCTATTTTAGTCGGTGCTTTTATTTCCTGTGTCCGGTATGACAATTAAAAGCTGCATTACATTACTTTAAAACGTTTAGAAAAAACAAAAAAAACAAGAGAATTATAACGCCCCAATTAACTTAATTAACTGAATGCCGTCACGCTTCCGTAGTTTATCAATCCATGTGCAAGTTTACTAATCTGTGGGTCCGGTCTATTACTCTGTTCTCTCGGTTTAGCAGTCTGGGGTGGAAGGATCTCTACAATATCATTTTTTTTGCTTTATATGACCCTTGGTGTGCTCCACAGTTTCCCTCTGCGGATAAATACAGTATTGGAAATTACTCTTCTTCTTGTGATTTATTTTAAGAGGAAAAAACGTCAGCTTTAAACTGACTGGGAGGTCAGTTATTGAACTGAGGTTCAGACTTCACAGAACAAACTGCTGATGGAATGATTGACATGAAAAAGAAGAAAAAAATAAAAAATAAAAATCAATAAAGCTAATTACAGTCTGGTCAGTAACACAAACGGCTTTGATTTCCAGGGATCAACAACTCAAAGTACTTATTAAAAAGTAAACTGTCTGAAGCCAGAACTGCTGACATAGCAACACTGATGGAGGATTTCAGGTCGCAATTTATTTCCAAAATATAGAGGATTACAGAGAGAGTGAGTGAGTTTTAATCTCTCACCATATCTGATCTGGGCTGTAGTCAGCGGCGAGGTCTCCAGGGTTT